GTGAACTTCAACAAAGCTTCGATGAAGAGGCTTGTGATTATGTGAAGCATCCGCAACGTTATGCACGGAACTTTCTGGAGTTTTGCTGTTTCATGACTCTTTCTCTTTCTGTACGTGCAACCGGTCATCTAGCTGACAAGAAATTCCGTCAACTGACTTATGACATGATGGTTGCCTGGGAGAGTCCTGCAGCTTCCAATCTGCCTTCCCTTAACATGGTTGTTGCTGCGATAACTGTATTATAGTATCGTCTTCATTTGACACTCAATTCACCCGCTTTTATGTGCATTTTTATGTAATCTTTTGTTCTCATTGCCAATAGGTAGATGAAAATGTTTCAGTTGGAGCAGAGGCTTTCTCTCGTATAGCTCCTGCCATTCCTATTATTGCCAATGTGATTATTTGCAAAAATCTTTTTGAGCTGCTTAGCACTTCAACTGGTGGGAGGCTCCAATTTCCCGTCTATGACAAGTTCCTTTCTGCATTAGAAAGGTATCTCTTCTCCATTTGATATTTGACCTGCTTCCTCATTTTACATTTCTGTCATCCTTGATGGTTGTCATTGACAATTGGCTAATTATTCTTGTCGAAATGGCTATGGCTACGAGAACCTTAATTGCTACTTCTTGTTATGATGTTAAATATTGTAGTTTCAGGTGCGTATCGTCCGGGAATGTGTTCCTAAGTATACTGATTTAAGTATCAAGATGACATAACTTTTCAAATTAGAAGGTAGATAACTAAAGAAAAGAGTATAATGGTAATTTTTTAACTGATTTAGTCTGTCAAAGAGGCAATTTACTGCGCATAAGGTTTGAACTCTTTTGTTTATCTTGTAAGTAAGCTTCTAGGTAATAAATGCTCTGAAGCAAATGTGTATCAGTTGTATGTTCTGTACCACCACACTATTTAGTTTCTTGTAGGCATATATGTAGCTACTAATCGCTCATTACGTTTGACACTTGGATTTATCAATTCATAGAGCTATGAGGAGATTGAAGAGCCAGACAGATTCATCCCGCCTTTCTGCTGTCAGATCCTTGAGAGGAGAGAAGGTCCTTGAAGTAGATGGAAAAATCACTAGTCAGCCGGTTCTTGAACATGTAGGAAGATCCACATGGCCTGGTAAGTACCTCTATATGTTGTTATCAGTTTTCTAACCTATCTTACAGTGAGTAAATAAGCATAAGCTAAGATGATTACATATCACTGGTGCTACCTGGTTGAACTGGCTTGTGCATATTGAGATGTGTAGCATGACACCATAAATGCTGCATCCTTTGAAAAATGGAAGCTTCGTAGTGGAGAAGATTGCACATCTCTCCGTCTGCATTGGATGTCCACTCACTTACCGTGATTGGTTGTGTAGGTCGGCTTACTCTGACAGATCATGCACTTTACTTTGAAGCTTTCCGAGTGGTCTCCTATGACAAAGCCTAGAGATATAACTTGTCAGATGAGCTAGAACAAGTCATTAGACCCGAGGTGGCTGGTCCACTGGGTACTCGATTATTTGACAAGGCAATCTTGTACAATTCAGTATCCTTGTAAGGCATGACACTGTGCTTGTCTCAGCTGATTCTTTTTTCTTTTTTAGTGTTTAACTGTCTTTCTTTGTTGGCTCAGAATTTCTCCCTATTATTAGGAGTTTGGATGTTGACTTTCTCAAGTTCTTGCAGATCAGAACCAGTCACTATCGAGTTTCCTGAGCTTAAAGGTCATAAACGCCGGGATTATTGGCTGGCAATTGTCAGAGAGATTCTATATGTGCATAGGTTCCTAAACAAATTCCAGATAACTGGTATTGAAAGGGATGAGGCAATTTCCAAGGCTATTCTTGGAATCTTGCGTGTACAGGCCATTCAAAATATGAATACCTCTGGTCCTCTTTGCTATGAGGCTCTTTTGATGTTCAGTCTTTGCGATCAACTTCCAGGGGGAGACTTAATAATGGAAGCACTGGCAAAGTTGTTATGCTTGAAGGAGTCGGACAGAACAAGTGATTCTAAGTTTGACAGAAGGATGTACTCAATGTCATCTGTCTCCATGATTTCCAACTTGGGCTTTTTATCTGGTAACAGTTCAAGTCATCTCAGTAAGGAAGGCCTTCCTGTTGGTGAGATTTCTGTGGGGCAGTTGAGTTTGGTGGAAAGAGTGGTGAAGGAATCTGGGGACAACTACAAGGAAGTGGTAGCGGCGCGACAATCCTGTGATGGAGCTAAAGTCAATGGCATTGATACAAATTTAGCTGTGATGAAGGTATCACTAGATGGTTTTATGTTCGTTTTCATTCTTAGGCTTCTTTTCATGATGCCGAAGCACTTACTTATCTCTCCTGTCTCCCCCTATTCAGCATCTTTAATACTGCGGACAATGTAGTAATTCGTCGCTTCTTTTGCATTTGTAGGAGTTAATGTTCCCCATTATGGCAGTTGGAAATTGGCTTCTTTCTCTGGCATACTGGGATGATCCTCTGAAGTCTTCGATATTCTGTCTGAGTTTCACTTTCATCATTTGCAGGTAAAATGGTTGTACAAGAATGCTCTTCCTTTGTTAATGTTCCCCTTTCTGACTATTTTCTGGTCATTGAGACATACTATATTGTAACTTCCTGCTTCCCAATTAGGGTTGAACAATGTAGAAAAAAGTAACCGTTGCGAATTTTAACAATTAAAAACCCTCAGAGGGCAGATTCACCTCTTATTATCCAAGTCGGATCATTGAGCTTTTGAACAGGTTATGAGGAAGCACGTATAGATATTTGTTGGTTTGAGTTTGGGCTTGTTTAAAATTCACCGCAGGGGGTGGCTCGGTTACTTTGCTGCACTGGTGCTCATCGGTATCGTGGCTTTCGTTACACTCATGCGGCTTCAAAACCAAGGGAGGCCTGCTCGTGAGATTAAGGTAATGGCACCTCCAGCAAAGAAGGCAGTGGAGCAGCTGTTGGCTGTTCACAATAGAATCTCTCTAGCTGAAGGGCTCATCCAAGATGGGAACATAATACTCCTCAAGCTACGTGCATTATTGTTGTCTTCGCTTCCTCAGGTAACAGTTTCTTCCTTCACCATTCTTACCATTCTCATGTCCTCTCTCTCTTGTATTCTGTCGATAGTCGATTGAATCTTTGCAGTTTGGATTATCCCAGAACCAAGATAAATTTTTCAATGTTCTTGTTCTCCAGGCTAGCGAGAAACTCATCCTTGCTCTTGTTGTCTCGGCTTTGATAATCGCCTTTTTGCCTGGAAAGTACACGGCGCTACTCGTTTTCTTGGAAATTTTCACCAGATATTCCCCTTTCAGGAGAAAAGGCACAGAAAGATTGACGAGGAGATTGCGGGATTGGTGGTTCAGTATCCCGGCGGCTCCGGTCATCGTGGAAAGAGAGGGAGAAGAGAAGAAGAAAGAGTAAATGTTGTGTATCTACATGCATGCACAGTTTTGTACATAACATGCATATGTCCAATCTCAGTATATATCCTAAAAAATTGAACTCTGTATATTGAATGGGAAAATAATGATTTGTAACTTATTTGAGATAGGGATGAGCACCGGTTCCGGTCCATTCCAAGTACCATACCGGACTGAATCGGCCAGTTTTGGGTGGTTCCCGATTCTTTGTGCAAACTGGGTCAACGGAGCCGGCCTAATATACTGATCAGCCAACCCCAATTGACACCTCTCTCTCTCTCTCTCTCTCTCTCTCTCTCTCTCTCTCTAACCTAACTCGCTCTCCAGTGGTGCTCTCCCCCTTATCACTTACTCTCCGGCTGCGCTCTCTCCGTCTCGTCCTCCGACTCCGCGTCCTCCTCCTACTGCTCCTTTTCCCCCTCCCTCCGACAACGCCCGCTAGGGCTTCTAGATCTGTTGTCTTTCCATACATTTGCTGTTTCATATTTCTCTCTTCACTGCGTGTGGTTCATTCTCAATGGGGTGCTCTGAGGTAGCTGCCGTTTTCTCTTTGGTTCGTCCGTGGAAGTGAGTAAGAGATGAGTTTGTTCCGATATACTCTCATTTTTAACAGTTCCTTCACGCTCGTGTTTCAGGGTTAATTTATTTTTACCTTTTCAACATTTTGGAAGGACCGTCTGTTCTTGTCACGTTTCTTTCTTTGTTCAAGCTTTGCATGATTGCTGAGCCGAACTAGCTCTCCTATCTAGATCACAAGGGAAGATGGTGAAGGTTGTGGTTGTCCTCAAGAACAGTGAGGGTGCCAGCGGAACTGTTCACTTCACTCGGTCGCTTCCTGGGTCGATACTGGAACCAACTGGTCCGGATCTAGAGCCAACAGGTTCGGTTTCCGGTTTCCGGAACCTATATTGACCGGATAAGTTCTAAGATGAGAACCAATTCATTCTGGAACCGATCATACTAATTTTGAATTTTCTTTTCTGGGCCATAAAAATGGGAAGCAGAAAAGCTGTTTCACTCTTCCAGCAAGGGAGCACTTCCGTCCTTTTCGCGTCTCATCTCATTTGACCACTGTCGCATTACACTAAATTGAAACATCCAAATGCAGCTGGTATGTGAACTAAGTTCATATGAAAAATTTCCCCCTCTTCACGATACTTATGTCCAGAACATTTGATGCAGTATCTACGCAAACATCACTAGCTATGATCCTTCAATATCTTACGTGTAGTTTCATCGCATCGGCTTTAATTCTGCAAACTGATTCCGAAACCAACCCCACATGCATTAGTAAATCACAATCACCACATAAATTGAGAACAGCTTCAATCAATTCACAGAGAACATCAGACATGATATAGCCAAAAATATTTCTCGAGAAAGATAGGTGAATCTCACTCCTGCTCCGATACAAAATGGAAAAATCCCTAACGGGAACCAAAATGAAAAAAAAATGGGCAGTAGTATGTACAAAAATGGAGTGAAGAAGGGGGAAAATAACGTACTATAATCATTATTATACTTTCTTAATTTTGCGAATAATATTTTATTTTCTGTGCAAAGGGTCGTCCATTATTTGGCAAAAAAAAAAATTGAAATTTCTTATTGGCATTCAACGGATCCCCAAAAAAGGCCCAGTGAAAAAAAAAAGAAACAATAATTTTCTCATGCGTATCGATTCTAAATTAAAAAGAAAAAAAAATAATCGGAAAACCAGATTTCAAGACCAAAAAATAAATTATTTTTTTTTTCAAAATTCGCGAAAATTGTTCGTCCTTTCAAAACTGGAGTACGACGACACGTTGTAGCTCGTCCTCACGTTGCTCGCCGGAAAACCGAACGCCGTCGCCTCGCTGAAATCGTAGAAGCCAGGCTGGTTCGAGCACAGGAAATCCGCCGCATTATTCGGCGGCACGAATGGCAGATGACTGCTCAGGTACGAGCCGTTGCCGTTCGCGGCCTCGAAGCCGGGCGCCGCCACGGCGAAGCAGGAGTTCACCTGGCCGCCGTCCCCGACGCTGCTGCTGCAGTTCTCCTCCGTGATCACCGACGAGCACTCGTTGTCCTCCCCTCCGCCGCCGGCCTTCGAGGTCTTCGCCTCGGCCTCATCGCCGCTGTTGGCGAAGGCCTCGGCCGGCGGAGGCGGGGGCGGGGGCGGCGGCTTCGGATCGTCGTCGGGCGAGGAGCGGGAGATGCCGGTGAGCTTCTGGACGAGCGCCATGAAGTCGCGCGGCTGCGTGTGGATGATCTTCGGCGAGTGCGTGTAGATGATCACCGGGTGGCGCTGCTGCTGCTGCTGCTGCGATGGCCTCGGCGCGGCTGCGGAGGCGGAGGCGGGGGCGGGGGCTGAGGCGAGGAGCGGCGCCGCGGCCGCCGTCGTCGAGGAGGAGGAGGAGGAGGAGGACGGCGAGGGTTTCTTGATGGAGCGGGAGTCGCGGTTCGTCTTCAGCGGCGGCGGAAACAGGGGGGCGTGGTGGTGGTCGTTGAAATGGGCGGGGCTCATGGTCTCCGCGATCCGGAAATGGAAGATTCAAGAAGACGATGAAGAGGGAGAAGCTCCAATTTTCTACGGAAAAAAAAATATATTTTCTGATTTTTTCTTTTTCTATTTTTTCCTTTTTTCCCTTTTCCTTTGCTGGGTTTTTCTCTTTTTTCGGTTGCGGAGAGAAAGAGAATCTGATGGGTGGGATCTGCGGTGGAGGAGGATCGACGCGGAGGTGTACGCGCGCCGTTATATAGTCGCGGCTCGGAAGATCGCCTGGGGGCGGACTCACCGGGAGGAACTTTCGTCAGCCAATGATAGACAGCCGCGTGTCGAGAGGGCCTCCCGAGTTGGAGCACGTGGGGTTTTGCGGGAGGCGCTTTTTTTTATGTGGGGAGGGAAGATGACAAGTGAAAGGGGGGGACGCCTGGGCGATGACGTGGCGGCGACGGTTGAGATTTTGCAGGGGAGGCCGTTGGAGATCGGTGCCACGTGGCGGCATCCGCGGGAGTTTCGGTTCGGCAGGTGGGGGCGGATTTGGCGGGAAAATATGGGCTAGGGTCTCGAGGCACCGAGGGTTTTCTCCTCTTGCTCTTTTCCTCTTTTCTTTTATTTATTTATTAAATTTTCTTTTTTGTATGAGATCGTAGAGATAAAGTTGCATGAATTTGCATGAGAACCGAAAATTTATATATGCCTAAAATGGAGAGCTTTTCTCTTTCTGGTTATTAACTTTTCCAATTTAAAAAGGTGATGGATCCCATAAAATCGATTAATCAGTTGCGATTATATTATTTTCACGTCAAAAAATAATTACAAATCTGTTAGTAATTAGAGAATCGCTATATTTTGTCATTAGCTCAGCATCACAAATATAATTTTCATTCTATCTATTATTAGTAACTTTTAAAAATATGATGACGGCGATTCCTACGTTAAATTTAATAGTGGCAAGTTGACATATATATAAATATTTGTATTTTTTTTAGCAACGAAATGGTATATAAAGTCAACAGATCTCAAATCACTGCATAACGTTATATTCAAGATGGTGCTGTGCTGCGTTGCTCCTAATCTTAGCCATCCATATGATAGAATTTTGGCAAACTCGAGGGAAAGGCTGTTGTTGCCACAGCTACGGCCGCCCCATCTTCCGACCAGAAAGTTTTCGCCGAATCTCTGTGTAATTAGCTTCATGCTGCATTTCCACCAGAACGTTTGCACTGGGCATTATTAAGAAATGTGATTCTTCACCTATTTTCATTCTGTCTTTACTCCCCTCCACTAAGTGATATATTAACATAAATGAGAGTAATCATTATTTTTTACATTCCATGTGTTATATTATATAACAAGGTTCATAAATTATGAAGGTGATATCTAGGTCATTCTTCCTAATGTTTGAAACCATATCCTTCACATGAGGGGGATAATTATTTAAAAAGTTCTAAACCTATTGTAGAGCAACCAATTAAGCCATAAACATTTCAATTTGGCTAATTTATTCCCAAACCATTTGACGATTTGCCAATAGAGTTCTTCCGGCCGATTTTGGCTAGAATTTGATGACGTGGATGCCGACTATACTACGTGGCACAACTAACCTCACTGGCCTAGAGTTGAAAAGGAAAAGGAAAGAAAAAAAGGAAATTAAAGAAAAGAAATAAAAATTAAAAAAATGCAAAAAATTGTCCACGTTAGCATCGATCTTGCTATATAGGACGGCCGGCGTTCACATCGTCGATTTTTTTTTTATCAAAATTGACCGGAAGAATTCCATTTGCAAATCGTGAAAAGATTTAGAATTAAATTGGCCACAGTTTAAGACTAAATTGGCCCATGTATAATAGGTGTCGGACCTTTTTGATAATTTTCCTCACATGAGCACATGAAATGCACGCTAAAAGGAAATATTAAACAACCACAAGGACTTCTTTTGGAGTCTCAGTGCCTTTCTTACGAGGATTTTCACGTGAATTTTTTGACGAGACAAATCCAAGATTTTCGATTTGGACACATGGTTTATATCCATGCTTCGAGTTCGTTGACGAAATTTTTTGAAAAGGTGAAAGTATGATGTGCGTGCAAAAAAGCAATCCATTGCCAAAATATGTTATTTTCTACGGAAAACACACCACTCCCCGGGGCATCAGTTCCGAGAATCGACCTTGTGACTTCCGATTCCAATACAAATGTTTAGAACCGGCAATCGAACCGACCCACTTTTTTATTTGGGAAAATAATACAAATGGTCTCCGAACTTTGGCCCAATGTGCTCGGAAACTTTTAATTTGTTAAATATACTCCATAAATTTTAGCTCAATGTGTCATCCCTGAATTTTTAATTTGTTTAGTGTGATCTTTGAACTTTTGGTACATGTTCAATGTAATACTTGTACTATATAAAAATGTTCAATGTTCAATATTTTCCTTCCACTAATTCAAGTTCAAGGTCAAGGATTAGATTGAACATGTACCTAAAATTTAGGGACCACATTAAACAAATTAAAAATTCAAGGACAATATTGCACATTGGGTCAAAATTCACGGATCATTTGTGTAATTATCCCTTTTTATTTTGGGAGAAATTGTTCAATTAGTCCTAAATCTATCGTACTTATCATAATTCAGTTTTAAACTTTCTAATCCGCCACATAAGGCGATCAGCAATAATTGATTGGACTATACTAGAGTTTCGCAAAGGTCGAGGACTTTACTGGTAAAATTGAAAAGTTTATGATTGAATTAATATCAGTACAATAGATTTAGGACTGATTATATAATTTTCCTTTTATTTTGCTTACGCAATCAAATTCTTATAATAAAGTATAAAAGTTGCACCGTTTCATTACAAAAATATATTATTGGATGTTGAAGAGCATGGTTCAATTTTCCTTAGGTGCAACGGTGATTTTTTTTTCTTTTCTTAAAGAGCTTCATGATCGGTTCACTCCGAGAGTAGAATCCGGATCGGGTGCTCGCCCCTGCTGTTGAAACAAGTAGCGTGTGGCGCAATCCATTAAATAATGAATCGCCCTTTAAATTGGAGCCTCTCGATTCCTCCTTTTTTTTTTCTTTTTTTGGTTCCCACTTTGCCACGAAACACGTGGTCCCGTCAGATATTTATGAAAACAAGGGAAGTGCCCCAAACAATCGTCAAGGTGGTTTTGAAAAGTATAAAGTGCTTGATGGAATTCTTTAAGGAATTAGAGAACGCTTTGCGGCAAAGGAGAGGCCGGTTCAAACTTGAACGGGTAGGTCGGTGGAGCAAAGAGACATCATGCTTGCAGGGTGGCAATGAAGTGCAAGATGCCTTACCAATTGTCAAGTCAAAATAGTCCGTGGCTTGATTCGATCGTGATAATCCTTCGTGAAAAACTTGAACGGGTAGGTAGGTGGCGTAAAGAGGCATCATGCTTGCAGGGTGATATGGAAGAGCAAGCCGCCTTACCAATCGTCAAGTCAAAATAGTCCATGGCTTTGATTCGATCGTGATAAGCCTTCGTGAAAAACTTCACGATTAGATCTCGAGAACAAAAGCAGTCCCCGGCGGTTTTCACGGTAGAGCATTAGACATGGTTAATGAAACATAATCATGTTTCCGAAATGTTAAATTAACGACGATCATCTTATTTGTATAATCTTCGGATGGTTTATTTAGCGCACACGCCATCGAGGGAGGAGATTTGCTCAATCAATCCTAGACTTATCGCACGGATGGTAATTCGGTTCCGGAGCGAGTAGTTTCTAGATAAAAATCTAAAATCTATCATGTTAGAGTCGGTTTCTAGTTTTTGGAACCGTGGAACCAAATCGGTTGACCCTATTTCCTAACCGGCCGGTTCCCGAGTCGACTCGGAAACTAGCCAAATATAATATTAGGATTTTGTGTGTGTGTGTATATATACGTCTCAAGTACACGCAAACGTACTTTGTTGCTTTGTTGAGAAGTGGGAAAATTTTGGCTCATAACGCCAACAAGAGAAGCAAGTGAGAATGAGACGAAAATTATTAGGTGAGTGCAACAAAATAACATCGTACGGATTTTATAACTAAAAGCTATATATAAATATTTAAGCACAAAGAGAACTTCACACTATTGTATTTGGTATTATAAAATTCTAATATTAACATAAGATTAATCATTCTGCGCAACTCATCCAATAAAACGTTAAATTGATATTTTGGCTAGTTATATCTCAAGCACACGCAAATTGTGTATTTTCATTGTAGCAAACGTAGTTTTGTATTAAGGCAGGAAATATATTTAATACAAAAGGAGTCACAATATGGAGAGAGAGAGAGAGAGAGAGAGAGAGAGAGAGAGAGAGAGAGAGAGAGAGAGAGAGAGAGAGAGTGAGTGAGAAGACGAGATAATATTTTTTTCTTCTGTTTTTCCATCGCCGGATGCGACAACCTCTTGAATTGAATGTGACGAACCCAAACTCCCAGACGATCGCTTTATTCATTATGTCGGGAGACACGTCGGCAGACAGTACATCATCGATGAGACGGCCACATAGCTCAGACCAAACCTAAAACGTTCGTTGAAATCATTGTCGACATCCAATGTGAACAAAAGGATGGCTATCTTTATACGCTAACCAAAGAAGAGGACCCTGTGGATGCGGACCCACCCGGAGGAACTTTCGCCAGCCAATGATGGACCGCCGCGCGTCGAGAGAGGGTGCCGCGATGACGTGGCGGCTATGGTTGAGATTTTGCAGGGGAGGCGTTGGGGATCGGCGCCACGTGGCGGTGCCCGCGGGGGTTTCGGGTCGGGCGGGTGGAGGTGGATTTGGCGGGAAAATGTGGCTGGGGGGGCTCGAGGCACAAAGGTTTTTCTCCCTTGCTCTTTTCCATTTTCTTGTTTTAATTTTTTTTTTTTGTGATTGAAGTGATAAAGTTGCATGAGAACGGAAAATGTATTTATGCCTAAATGGACAGTTTTTTTCTCTTTCTGGTTATTTAACTTTTCAAATAAAAAAAAAGGTGATCGCTCAAATTAGCCGCGATTATATTATTTTAATATCCAAAAGGTAATTACAAATCTGTTAATAATTATAAAAATCACTGTATTTTGTCTTTAGCTTGGCATCGCAAATATAATTTTCATTCTATCTAT